TTTTTTCTACCTTTGTGTCTGTCTCTTTTACATCTTTGAAACACTCTTCTGCCCCCCCCCTCTCGACATTTTTCACTCTGATGTTCCTTCCCTCTGTGAAGCCTGAAGTCAACTAAAGTGCTAATGATAACCATCAAAACGCCTGCCATTTGATATAAATAAATCATATCAAATTTAGTTTCTTATGAGCAACTCGAATAATGTCAAACATGATTAAATTATTTTCAATCAGGGAGCCTTGAATTTGTCTCTTTCTTATTTGTACGTTTTTAGAACTGCTTACGAATTGTATCTTTAAATAAGCAAACTAAATAAACCTGTTTGGCTGTTCACCGCTAAAGTTTATACGGAATAAGAAATCTTTTCCGGCAAGTTATACTTTGTCTACAATATTTCGATTGGCCCACTCATACAAAATTGATCCATATATTCATAAATACTAGACTCAAACTAATTAAAAAACATCTATTTTGCTTAAATACGACAAATCTTTATTACAAATAAATTTACCTATTGTAGCAACAGCTAGAAATCCTCCGACAGAGGCGATTCTGTAGAGTTATATTCAGAGCTATTTCGATCAGAAGTGGAGTTTTCTGTTCGAGAACTGTCACCGCCCTCAATTTGCGCCATTAACTCTTCAAAGATTGAGAGCGTCGTTAAAGAGCGCAGAGGTAACCATTCATCTCGCTCAATGTCACTACCTTCTATATTGAAATATCCACCTTCAGCGTTGACATTGCTTGTGGGGGCAAGTTGGTCCTCTTCGTACTCTGAACGTGGCGTCAACCATGGAGAAGAGAATTCCGAGTGGCCGTTGTTCCGCACGTCTCTTACTTGAAAATTTCCGATGTCATTTACGAATGAGTCGAGCTGATCTTCTTCATTCGGAGACGGGTGGGGAGAGAAGGCAGAGATGAAATGTCTAAAAATGGCTTGGCCGTCTTGATAAAAATATGCTTCAGGAGACATGAGAGGAAATATATATGGGCCTTCTATATCATCAGGAACAGGGCGGTTATCAGTCATGATTAAAAGCAAATGGTAGGTTGTCTTTTCTCGAGTGCTTATATACTGCAGAAGCCAATGAAGATTTTAATTGATATCTATTACGAAGTACTAAAATTATATCTGTACTAACTGTAACCTTAACAATATTACTTAGGGTCAATTTGGGGCTAAATTTAAATAAGGTCAAAGTTCGATATTAAGTTTATTCTATTATGACCTATCTAGAGAAGTTTGGACTGATTCACAGCCTGCGCATAATTGCAAGAAACACCCCTATCACACGACTTGGTGGTATTCTTAGCTGGAAGCTCCTTTTCTTTTATGTTATGACAGTCTCCTTTTCGACTTAAACACCAATACCCGTAAGCTTGAAACGCGTCTATGCTTTTAGGAGCCTCCTTGTTCCTTACGATTTTATGGAATTTTGCTACTAGGTGAATTTGATTCACGTTTTTATTTTCTTTGAGCTCTGTTTGGCCTATTGACTGTCTAATTTGATCTCTTCACTTGAAATTTCAAGAAGAGGAAGGAAGTTCCCTATTTGAAAGCTTTAATTTAGTAAAGAGGGGATCAGTTGAATTTGAGCTTGATATTCCTTCCTAACCAAGTTTCTTTTCAAGTGCGTAAGGCACGAACGAGAGTTAAACGCAGGCTAATTTCCGCAATTACATTTCTTGCTGTTCAAAGCTGAAAACTTGAAGCTAATCGTTTTCTTCATGATATTAAGAAATTAATATCAAAGGGTAATCATTTATCATTTTTGATATAATATGAGAGTGTGGGACACGTCATCGTCGGACGCGAGATCGCATGCCAATCAGAAGTGAATCCTCCATTTTGATTACGACTAACCTTACGTCGTATACAATTTCACCTCAATATTTA